CAGCATTCAAAACAAACGAGCTGGGGACTCCCCAAGCATGCCCAGTGTGGGCAGCAGCCTGTGGTCAGGTAGGAGGAGCCGAGTGCTCCACAGTGGGTGAGGGGACAGGCTGGGCCGGAGCCAGGCAGCAGAGCTACCAGGTCCTTTGTGATGAAAGCTTTAGAGACGCTTCTCTCTCCTCTGTGTAGTTGGTAGTTTGGGTGGTGAAGACATGGCTGACAGTCCAAACCTTTCTCCAGGACCTTGCCGGGGAAATCAAAGGTTCCATCTGGGGAACGGGTAACATCTCCAAGCTAGATGCTCAAATTCAGCAAAAGAGAGAAGAGCAGCATTGAAGGGCAAGCAGTGTCTTGGGGCAAAGAGCCCAGGGCACGGAGTGGAAGCAGGTGAGGAGCCACGTGTTGTGAGCAGAATCTTCCAGTGCTGCGCTTGGAATGGCAGCGAGTTCTGGTTCAGTCTCCCCTTGTTTTATTGGGTGCTTATTTCCATGCTTCCATCAGTAACTGCCCAAATCATTGGTGATCCATCCCTGCACGGAGACGTTCGGTCGTGGCTGGTCTTCCTCACATCACTTTTCAGGGCTCTTTGTGTGCTCCCCATTTGTGCTTCACCAAGTTGTGGATGCCATTTGAATTCAAGATACAGCGGTTGTGGCATTCAAGGTGTCAGGGCAAACGCCTTAGCCACACCCAGTGTCAGCAGATCTTAGACCTGCTGCAGGCTCTTCCTCATCCGGGGTGTTTTGAGTCTCTTCCCATCCGTCTTGCTGGTCTGCTGGTTAATCTTCTCCACATGTCCCTTCTCCACTCACTACACTGCTTGGAATATCACTGGTTCAATAAAGGAACTGAAACGCACCATCGGTTGTCAAACACAGAGAGGAAGTGGCCTTCCTACTTTGGATTTGGTTTGCCCATGGCCTTCCTATGGCAGTGAGCCCTCCTACATTACCAGTGGCTGCCTCTTCTCTATTCTTTGTCCATCGTCAGTGCAGTGAAGCGGAGAGCCCCGCAGAGCGCCTCTTTTCCTGTTGCGCCTCATCTCCGTGGTGGTTTTCTTCAGCAGAAGGCTCTTTCACGGGCACTCTACCTGCAGTCTGCCCAGAGGAGCTCAGCCTCTGCAGGAAGTTCCCTTCACTGCACACGTCTCCGGCCATGTGGAAGGCTGCTGTAGGGGCTGCGTGGGATGGGAGGGAGACTGCCAGCTCTGTCCTTGTTCCTGCCCCACAGGGGCCAGTCTGCCAAGCACCCTCTGCATGGTCCCTTCCCTCCGAGCACCTGGGACTTTCATCTTTGGTGCACAGAAGGCACAGTCTTCCTGATACCAGTAAGTGCATTTCTAACCCCGTGAGTAAAAGGACCCCAGGGTTTTCTGCGGCTCTTTTCTAGCATTTGCCAACCCCGTGCCTGGGCTGACCTGAATACCTTTCCTCCCTGTGCATTTATCCTCCACCACCCCTCCCTGCCCTCCACCCCTCTGAAGAATGGATTTCATAATTCTAGCTGCTGTATTTCGTGGACCTGTTGTTTTCTTTGAAGCACACACATTCAATGTGGGAGCTCAAGGAGGCTCTCAGTGGCCCCTGGTCACTCCCTTGATAGCCCTCACTGTCTTGTTTCTTGAAACTCAGATTAGATTTGGGTGTCTCTTGTTCTACTGCAAAAAAACAAGGCTGAAGAGATATAACAGGAGGCAAGACCTCACAGCCAGGACTGTTGGGTTTTGAGGAGTGTATTTTCTTCCCCTTGAAGGGGAAAAGCTCTTTTCACTGGTCCATTCAAACGTCCTCAACCACAGGGAGGTGCCTGTTGTGGACGAGTGCCACTGCAACCCAGAATGCTCAGGGAACCTGAGCTTCTAACCTCTGCGGGTCTGAAATTCACTGTCAGCCACTGTCGGGTCTGTCTGGTGTTTCAAGAGAATACTGGGTGCTGCAAATAGGAAATGAAGGGGTAAACTTATTAAACCTGTGATTTAAGGGTTTAAAGAGTCAATATGGGGCCAGCTGAGTGGCGCGTTGGTTAAGAGTTGGCTTGGGACGCCAGCTCTGAGCAGCAGGACCCCGGTTCAGACGTCACATTAGGGCCAGTGGTGCTGTGCCCTCTACA